GAAAGAAAGAAAGAAAGAAAGAAAGAAAGAAAGAAAGAAAGAAAGAAAGAAAGAAAGAAAGAAAACTTCTCTGAAAATATTAAGAACGGATAAAATGAAATGCAGAGTTTTACAAAATAAATCCTTTTATACTCTTTTGATACAATTGTCTGTTTTAACCTGTAATAATAGAATTGTGTTTCAGTAAAAAGTAATAAGGGACTTTTTGCTTCAGATAATAATTTAAAAATAAAGTCTGTGCATTTAAGACATCAAAAAGACATATGTTCTTAGGAAAGTTTTGTAGCATGCTTCAACAAATTCCAAGTATATTTGTATTTATTTATGTGATTGCCTTAACTAAAACTGATGACAGAGACAAACTATCATAATAATGAAGAAATATCTTCATTGGAGAAGATATCTATGGGAAACAATTTTTCACCTACATATTTATGCCATTTTCAGGAGTAAATTTTTCTCCCAGATGTAAATCAATTATGACAGTGCTGTTCCAGTAACAAATGAAGTTTCAATCACTGTAGAAAAGTTCTACTTTTCTTCTAAGGATTGCTGATTACTTTGATTGCTTTGATCATCATATTAATTCAGGCAGGTTCAATGTCTGTAGCAATGATGCCAATAGATGCTACAAGTCCTTTGGAAATGTTCCTCCAAAGATGTCACCTTTAGACTCTTTCTAGTAATATTAGTGGGTGATTTCCTCCCTATTTTTAGACTAGCACTCTTCTGAAAGAGATCTAAACCCAGGTCCCAAAATAACCTGACAGATTGAAGGGACAAAGGAGTGGCAGGGGCAGGATGGAGCGATTAATAATGAGTGAGCCCCATCCTTGACTTGTGCTGCAAGGAAATGGCAGTGCTAGCAGTGAACCCAGTTCTGTTTTCATTATAGTAATCTGTGGATGACCATGGAGCTGTGATGGAGTACCAAAATAGCGTCATCCTCCAAGTAATAAAAATATGAAGAAATACAGTTATGTGAAGCTGCATGGCAGAAGCAGCAGGAAACCTGTAACATACCTAATGATTAAGAAAAAGCAACAAACAGTAAGCCGAATCCACTTGTCTTTCTGGATATAAGTCAACTCTCTGTGTAGGACAGGCCAAGCATGTTCAGGACTAGAATACTAGTCATCCCCCCCCCCAACCAAAACAAAATAAAACAGAAATCAGTCCAGCACTCTTTCAAAATAGTACTAAACTCATGTTTAACAACCAGATCTAAACCTCTTTCAAAACAGCACTAAATCTGTGTTTATTAGTATGCCATGAAAGACTTGACAAGAATATCATAAAATGTCAGACATTAAGCTGACAGATGCTTCTATGGAACCCAGGCGTCCAAGTCTCCCCTAGAGTTCGACCAAAATGGCCAAAGAGGGGCAGTTCCCAGTGACCACAGCAAAGTAACTAACAGCAGCTGAAAAATCCTGACTTAAATTGTATCTATACCAAAAAAAAAAAAAGTTTTGGGAGAAGAGGGAAAATACTACTTTAAGACTGAAACTGCTAAAGGGACTTTAAGCTGCCTTAGCTGTTGCTGGGAATAAAACAGGCAATATTATTGGGACATGGCATTGGGGGAAAAAATCTCAAAATGTTACTGTGATCAGTTCAGGTTCTGACTAGGAAGATATGAGCATGAGTCCAATTGTCTCTAACTTTTGGCCAAAGGCACAATGAGTTTAAGAGCATAAAATACAAAAATGCTGCTTTGTCTGATTGAATATGTTTTGGCATTTATGTTTCCTTTACATACTCTCAAATGCTATCATGGAGCCTATACATTCAAATTATGGCTGTCTGACAAAAAGTATGTCTATGGTTCTGAAAAAGCTCTGTGATTTCTGCATGTACATACATATCATGGGGGTGGGGGGGAGAAAGGGAGAGAGAGAACCAAAACCTTTCAGATGTCACATCTCCTACTGTCACTTTTTCTGAAGCAAAAATTGAATGTTGCCATAGCTGGGAAGTTGTCACAAAGGAACTTTAGTGCACTGTTTCTCTTTTATCTCTTTTGTGGCAGATTGTCATGGGATCACACACTATGTTAGAATACAATTTGTAAAGCATTGCAGCAAAGAAAAGGACAAAAAGAAAAGACAACCTTCTAGTTTGGCTAATAAGCAGAATAGAAGAATGAAGATGAGGTTTAGTTGATCCTTAATTTTAAGTGATATGACCTAAGCCCAAACATTTTAGGTTCCTTGTATAACCTGGAGGGAAATTTATGGAGTCTGGTATGGCAGAAATAACTCTAATGGTTTAAGCTTAGCCCTAACAGTTCCCTGAATAGACTTTTAGTATTATGAAATATTTTGGAGTAAATATGTTTTGATAAATAGGAAGAGGAAAAACTTGGATGTTTTCCAAATGTTATATATATATATGCCTTAATATTCTGCTTGCTAGCACATATTTTCCCCAAGATACTTGGGGAAGTCATATTGTTTGACTAAGGGTTTTTCTGTGATATAAGATTGCAAGTAGCATGTAGTATATACTGCATACTCCAGAAATTATTACACCTACAGTATCAGTATTCAGATTCTAGACCATTATTCTCTGGATTCATACATCATACTAAGCAATAATCTGATTTGTTTTTGCTTTGCTGTGATACAGACAGGGATCAGTGAACTAACCATATCCTTTTTAGAGCTGTCACACTGTTTGAAATCAAGGTTTGTTGCTGAGTTATAGATTGCAATGTTGAGATTTAATGTATGAACAGTGATTCATGGTTTCTTTATGGTTCCTAGCTTATTCATGATTTATACTATCCTCAAATATTTAGCCATTTCACAGAGTTCAAAGTAGTCTAAAAAGGAAAGAAATTACCAGGATTTGGCTGTGTAAAACTATGATTACTTTGTTCACCTTCAAGATTTAAACTGGGTTGTTTTTGGCTTGCTCAACATACCATGATTAAAACAAACTTTTTAAAAATTAAAATAGTAAATAGTAAATAAATTTAAATTCTTATTTTAAGATAATGTGCATCCTTGTAGGAGGTTTCTTTTAAAAAAAAAAACTTGAACTATGATTGACAAATACTATAAAGTAACCAAGTAACATAAATCTGTGATAAATTTGTTTCCTGTACAGCTTTACTAAAGTCAGTATCCCAAGGTTCCTTTTTTTAGCAAGAAGTGCATCTCCTACTTCTGTTTCCAATAGTAACCTGAAGGTTTCCAATAGTAACCTTCAAAAACCAGCATTTTGGAAATTGTTCTAGATAATTAAATATTAAATTCTCAAAATTGATGTAGGGGTTAATGAAGTTCTAGCATCCTTATTACCCAACAAATATTTAAGCTGATACCAGAAAAACCATGGTAACTTGTCACCTATTAATTGTTCTTTATTGAGAGGTTCCCTATTGCTGCAGAAATCTTCTGTTCTGTAAAGGTTATATTCTCTCAACAGTTCCCTTTAAGCCAGACCATAGTGATTGTCCTGTTCTATATACAGTATGTCATTAAAGGGGTTAGGAGAAACTCATCCTTTATCAAGGTTATATATTTATTCTTCGAAATTTGGAACACCATTTTGGTAAAAAACATTTTCAAACTTGTTTATTTTTTAAAAAAAATTCCGTGAAAGAATCATTGATTTATATAACAAATTTGTCTGTAATATAATTTCAAGTTGAATCCATTGTTTAGAAGGGCCTTCCAAAAATAATGTAATTGTATGTCTTAAGTGAAATGGAACATAGTTTTAAAATATAGGAAGGTGTAGGTTCCCATCAGCTCATAATGATAAAAAAAACATTAATACTATTCACAAAACTAGCTCTATGGAAAACTACTTTTTCACAGGCCACTTTAAGATGTTTCCAAACTGTTTTTCCATACAAAATGTTTTGTTTATTTATTTATATTCTTTATCTATTCAAAGTTCAGTGGTTATGCCATGCTCATCAGTTTCCAAATTATTTGCTTCCTTCCTAGCTTACCTCTTAGCTATTTTTATCTGATATTTCAAATAAATTACAAAATGCTTTGAACTGCATGATTAGTCCATTATGCATTCTGTTTATTACAGTTATACAAACTTTCATGAATAAATTATTTGAATCATGGAAAATTTCACTTAATGTAAGGAAGCTCTAATAAAAAAATTCCAAGATATTAACCTATCTGGTTTTCCTTGATTCTTTAATATATAGGGGTGTCTTCCTACTTTTTTTTTTTTCTCTCTATAGGGATGCAAGATTTTCTTACAGAAACATGTATCTGAGATGTA